ACAAGTAATCTCAAACTTGAACAAAGATCAATGGCCCATACTGAATTCAGTTTGCAGAAATTTTGGTAAGCCATAAAATCTTGGATGATCAGCACAAGTCTCAAAACCCAGTCCAAAACTCATGATACATGAGTTATTCTCTCAAGTGTAGTGAAAATCTTTAAGTTACCTTTGAACACCAAAAATATCTCCAAAAAGAAAGGATGTGAATCAAAATATTAGTCTAAGGCCTCTAGTTGATGCAGATCTGAGATTAGTACTGAGATCTGACATTTTTATATGTAACATTAAATTTATTTATTAGGAGAAAAGTTGAGTTAATAATACAAGCCAAGCATCCCTATCATTCTGTTGGCAGCATCAACAAGCCCCCATTTTATTAATTATAATGTTTACAACTGTCCCAAAGCAACCAATTCCTATTAACCCCCTGCTTAGCAAGCCCATTATCTAGACTATTGGCTACCCTTGGAACCAAAGTGTAGCTGACTTGAGTATCCCTTGAGAGATTCCTAATTTCCCTCATTATGTTTGTGTGGCCATTTCTATATGCTGCTTCTCCTTAGCTACCGCACTACCACTTTTGAATATCCTTTAGTGCAACATTCCTGAAATTTAAGGTTTTCCCCAACCTTTAGTCCATGCACAACTGCCAACAGCTCTGCTTTCATGGAGTTTCCATGTCCAATAGAACCTGAAGAAATTGCTAGGGTAGAACTAAGGTTATTTCTAAAAGCCCCTCCAACTGAAATCAGACATTTTTCCCTTGCAAGTCCCCCCCCCCCTCCTCCCACCCCGCAAAGAAAAAAGACCAAAAGAAAAAACAAGAAAAAGAAACCATCTAGGATGCTTTTCTGAAATTCAAAGAAAATCCCCAATGAATGATAAACTAAACCTGAACCCCAAGGAATTTCAAATAACCAGAAACTCTAGAACTATTTGTTACAGCCCCAAAAAATTGTCCAGAATTCATGAAATAACCCCTGAACTGTTGTAAATTTCGTTTTGACTGATGAGTGTACCAAAGGTGTACGGTGTACCACTGCACAAGATGAAAGACAATCTATGCAAGCTAGTCAAGTATTTACGCCTAGCTTGAAGGGACGTGTTGAGAGGCACTAGCCAAAGGGCATTGTTTTCTATCTTTAATTTATATTTAATTAAGGGCAAAATTATATAGGTATTACTACAAAGTCTAAATAGGCTATGCCCAATACCTTTTTGGCCTCTTTTACAAACTTCTCTTTATTCCCTCTTCTTTTCAATATCCTTATCCTTCAAGAACATCTTCTCATATTTCTTCAGTTCCTACCCTAGATGTGTTTCTTTTCCACACATAGTCCTCTGTCTACTAGTTGAAATTCTAGGGTTACTACCACGATATATTAGCAAGTTGTAACAATTCTACAGTGGACAAACACTGAGTTCCAAGCACTCATTGAAAACAACACTTGGAATCTTGTTTTGATTCATCTTACCTCAAAATGATTTGGAACCAAATGGCTATTGATAAAAAAAAAAAAAAAAAAAAAAAACAAAGTGGAACCAAATGCTTTTTTCAGTTAACCTAAATTCAGTGGAACAATTGATAGATAAAAGGCACACAATGTTACATAGAGTTTTAAAAGAAGCATGCGGTAAATTATATAGAAACCTTCACTCTTGTTGCCAAAATGACTATACATATTCTGCTTTCCATCTATACAATCCCATAGTGGACCATCCTTAAGATTGATGTCAAAAATGCCTTTTCCTAACATCTAAAACAGACAGTCTATATGGTACAAGTCAATAGTTTTTGTAATTGGAGAATTCACTATATGCTCTAAAGAAAGCACTTGGGGCTGGTTTGAATGATTCTGACAAGCTATCAATGAATGTCATGTATGTACATATGATAGATCTTATGGGAGTTATTCCACTACTTGTTACTGTGGAAGATAATTCCATGCTCACTAAAAAACTGGCTATGGAGGAGGGTTAAGGAGGTGGTGTGGTCCATGAACAAGGATAGTGCTCCGGGTCCAGATGGCTTTACGGGGTATTTTTTTCACCCACTATTGGGAGATTATCTCTAAGGATGTATTTGCGGCTGTTGATCATTTCTTTTTGGGTGGTGAGCTACTGGTATGCTATACATCTTCTTTTATTTCGCTCATTTCAAAAGTGAAAACACCCAAAAGGTATGCTGATTTTCATCCTATTAGTCTTAGTAATTTCTGTTACAAGATTATTGCTAGATTGTCGGGGATTCTCCCTAAGTTGATATCCTCTGAACAGGCTGCATTTGTGAAGGGCAGGATGATTACAGATAATATCTCGCTAATGCAGGAGATGGCCATTGATATTGATAAAAAGGTATTAGGAGGAAGTTCCATTCTTAAACTGGATAAAACTTTAGTGCAAGTAATAAGAAATGATTCAAGGGCCCATAATTTAACAATGGATATGGCACTGAACAGGATGGAATGGTGAAACAGGATTCATGTAGCCAACCCCATATAGTTGGAACAAGGCTTAGATGTTGATGATGATGATCTGATGTACCTTAACATAATTATTTTATCTATTTTATGTGGTGTACCTAGAAGGGTACTGATGTAAAATCTAACATTCTAATATTAAGCTATAAGATTAAAACCAAAAAAGATGTTAAGTTATAAGTTCTTTTTGGCCACTGGATTAGATAGAGTACTCTCTCTCTCTTACAGTATTTGCACGACAGATGAGACAACTGTTTTACCTATAATATATTTGATTTTTCTTTCCTTTGTAGTAGACACAAAACTTTATTTTAGCCCCACTAGCATCCAAAGAATCCCCTGATACTTTTGTTTTTTCTCTCTCTCATAGCATGAATGTCTATCGATAATTGCATGAAACAATTATTTCACTTATGATATATTTGATTTCTCTTTCCTTTGTAGTGTACACATAACTTTACTTCCCCCTTCTTGTATCCAAAGAACTCCCTTGCTCCTTATGGTATTAGAAGCACATTAGCAACTTCTGCTAGTGAAAATTTTATAGGAAATTCTATCTGTCAAGTGTACACAGGGTTTCAATTTTCACTTTTTTAATTCCCTATTCACAAATACCCATAAAGTTAAAGTAGCATCAAGAACACCTTTTAAGGGATTGAATTTTCAATATGTAATTTGGTGAAGAGAGCAAATTTAATCAGAGTTTATCTTTTTTCAAAAAATTTACCATTTTATCTTATTTTAAAAAATAGAATATAATATAGACTACAGACATTGTATAAAATCATCAAGAATCCTTTGTTCTTAGAATTTAAATATGCAATGAATTACTAAACCACAAATGCCCATAGTTGTCAAGGCGACGCCTAGGCGACAAGGTGCCCTTTGAGGCTCGCCTCGCCTAATTGCCAAGCAGTTTTGTACTTTCTATTATAAAATACTTTTTATTCTTTATTTTTTGAGATTATAATTATAAAATAGATTTTATTAAACTAATTTCTTTTTATTATTTTCCTATTTGTTAGGGTTTAATCAACACAAACATTGCTAAATTCTATATTGAAACCTCAAAGACTTCAAAACCTGAACCAATAAGTAAGGAAGAACTAAAAAATTTGTCTAATCAACACATTTTCTTCTCTTCTTCTTCTTCTACTACTACTACTACTACTACTACTACTTTTTCTTTTCTTCTTTTCCTTTAACAAAAATAAGGGCTCAGCCCCTATATTTTTTGAATTTTCTCTTCCTTCTTTTTCTTCTCATTAATATGTTGATTTTCTATACTTTAACATGAACTCTATACTTATGAAAATTATGAATAATTATTAAGGAAATATGGAACTACTCTTAAGATCTATATTTTTTATATCACCTAGGCAACTAGGCGACAAGGCACCCCCCCCTGTCACCTAGCCTTGCCTTGGCGCCTTGAAAACTATGCACATGCCTTAATATTCAAATAATACATTCTTTAATCATTTCATGATCCTAGAGAAAGAAAAGCTTGATTGACTACAGTACTTTATATAAGCAGCAAGCTGTGATACCATTACTAACACAGTAATGATACCGTGTAGAATTTCCTTGAATAATTTCAACATTCTTTAAGCCTTAATTTATGATATACATGCAAAGTTAGGGATACCAAAAAGAGATATCAATTTGTAATTCTGTCTTGGGTCAGCTTCTATGCTGACTTCTTTGTAACTTCTTGTTGTACATTAAAGCATCTTAACTAATGAAATTTTTCAGAGTTATTAATCAAAAAAAAAAAAAAAGTTAGGGATATCAAAAAGAGGACATGTAATGAGTATACTTTAAGGTAAATAAAATCTTCTAACTTCTCTTCCATCAAACAGGATTATATTTACAAGGGAGGCAATTCATAGATGGTGAATGAATATGGTTGTTGTGGAGCTACTTTTAGTAAGAAATCTATGTGAAATTTGTGAAAGAAGAGGAGAGTATGCATAACACGAAGAGTTTAAGAAACACATGAACCCTCTTATTAACATTTGGAATGAAAACCAAAACAAATGTGTTTCCGATGGGAAAAAATGCTACATTATGCCAAAATAAGGTAAGTCTCCCCATATCAATGACCTATAAGTAGACTTGGATATGGCCTTCCTCCAACTAAAAATCATACTCAGAATAAGTAAGAAAAATAGCCATCCAAGATTCCCAGGGCAAGCATTAAAAGGAATCATTTATGAACCATAATCCTGGTTCCAAATAAGGTGAAGTAAGACATGTTCATTAAAATTTCAGTTCAGAATAACAATATTAAGTAAGAAAATATAGCATTTCTGCAGGAATGTAATAAATAGATAAACAAAGACCAATCTTGAATTAATTAAAATCAAATTAAGCGAAAGCCACAAATCCAGAAAATAAATATGCATAAAAAAACAGAGCTTAAATATGAATCCAAATTTTAAGATATAAAGAAGTCATCGAAGTAGGATAAGAAAATAAATCAAGAAAATATATAAATAAACAGAGAAAAGTTACCTGATTCAACTGTATTCACTTGGCTAGTTTTCTTTGGTGGTAGGGGTGAAGAGGAAGAAGAAACTGAGGCACCATTATCTTTTTCCGTGTAAACTCTACCAGTGTCATTTAACAAATCTTGAGCTGTATGGTTAGAAGTCTCCTTGGTCACTAAAACATTGGGAATAACAGAACTACTTGTTGGCACCTCAGGTTTTTGTTGATTTACGGGTTCCACTCCTCTACTTGAATCCGTGGAAACCAATTTCGTTTTTTCACCTGAACCAGATGAGGATTTCAAGTTTATAGCATCTGAATTACCAATTTGAGAATAATTCTGAGAAATCACAACTGCGGTATCGTTACCAAGAGGCAATGGCAACCCGACTTTGCTCGAATGATCAATACCTTGAAAAGTGGAACCACTGGGATAAGAAATTAGAAGCCACGATGCAAAAATTAGAAACAGAGCTAGTCCTCCCACTGAGATTACAATGGAGGCAAGTGTCCGTGGAAAAGCCGCCATGCTTTAAAACCCAGGCGGCGCCAATGTCATGGCTTTGCAATACGATGACTCTACTTCCAAAACGCACAACACATTTTCCGCAACAAAACAAGATTCTACAGAAATGTGGATTTCGTATTCCGAAATTCAAACTAAACCAATGACATGATCTAAGATCCACGTAGATAATCACCCGGACCAAATCGTAAGACTTCGTGACTAGAAAACTGAACAAATACAAGATGCATTCAATCGACCTTTATCTCACAGTTCAACAACAAATTGGCGATAATCACTCAAATTTCCAAATCTGTCAACTCAACTTCAATCTTACCTGGATCTGCACTTCAAACTCTAGATCCCATTAAATACAACTGAATCCCCTAATAATTAAACAGCTTCTTCTCTCAAACTCCAAATTCTCATTAAATTACAGCAAAAAAAAAAATTTAATAACGTCAAACTCAATAAATGCATTTCGATTTCTCTTCCAAAGATTTAATCTTCAATCGTAAACAAAACTCACAACGCAAATCCGAACGCCGGAATTTACCCATATCAATAATTTTTCCAGATTCCAACCACTAGCCTACCATAACCATAAGAAACGAGCAATCCTCAACTTACAAAACGAAATCCAAGTCCATGTAAGAACGGACGAGCAAACCCGACCTGCCTATCAACAAAATGGAAACTTCTTTTTCTTTCTATGGTAATGCTACAAGCGTCAATTGCTCGATTAGACGATAAAAATGGAAATGGGTCTCTATTCCATTGACCAGATTATCCTACCCTGCTTCCATTTTGTATAGCGGACATCAGGGTTATTCTTGGAAATATAAATCAATAACCGTGTATTTAGACAAGTGTAGTGAAATCTCGGATCCAGAGACGGAATTTTCCGCCATTAAAATATGCGGAGTTCGGAATACCATTCGGACCAGTCCGGATTTCCTGCACTCGGTTTTCTCCATGCGGAGTACACTTCCAAGATTGGTCGTGGTTCACATGCACACCCAGCTCACGGATACCCCCTTCATTCTAACCCTTTTCCTTGTATGAGCTCACTATAACCCTACTTCTAGAAGCCTCTCATGCTTTTGACGTTTTAGTTGAAATATTAAAGTGAAGGTTTGTCGTCATAAATTTGGGGTTTTTATTGTTCAGTCCACGCCAAAAACCCTAGTTCCACGTACAATTAGGTGTAGGTGATGTTAATTTACAGGCGGGTATGGGTGTTATAAATTTGAATTGTCTTAGGTTGCAGTTCAAATCAGAATTCTGAGATAGAGTGCAGTCTAAAAATCCCCATAAACTTTTGTATGTTATATTGCCACGTTGCAACACATAGGCAATGTGTCATTATAGTGCAAAGGCTATATTGATGACCATTGAATAGACAGTTAACATTAGCATATTAGCCAAACCAGCTAGAGTTAATTGGCCAAATTTCAAAAAAAAAAATTTAATATGAATCTGAAAAATGGATTCTCTAAATTTGGAGAATTGGATTCTCCTAAATTGATCTAGTATTGGATTGAATCAGATTTGATTTTAAAATTAAATATGAGCATATATGATATGGAGACCATAAAGTGCAATTCCCAAAATGGTGGTTCATGTGCAATATTCAAATCCAAATTGTCCTCTCAATTAAAGAAGAAGAAACCAAACCTACAACTAGTTTTTGAAGGGTTAGGATCCATCATATGGATGGCCAAACCATATTGGATGGCTGGGAAATTTTTCAAAAATTTCCTAATCCTTCTGGAAATTGAATTCCCTATGTTTCGAAAAACTGCATTTTTCAAGGATTGGTCTTGTATTGAACCGGACCAGATTTGAAACCAACCAAAGAGGGAGATGTATATCTAATACGGATACCACAAACGCAAATCCCAAGGTGGAAGTTCACTGCCGAAACAGTCCTAAAACCAGCCTCCACTAAAAATGGTGCAATGTACTCCTGAAAACGGTTCAGCAACGCAGTTTTCAACAAAACTGCAATCCATCTGCTTGGATCAAACTAGGGAGGTCAGCACGAAATTTCTCTCAATTTTTCTTGCAAAAATTAGAGGAAAACTAATCTCTACCAATCCCAAATAAGCTATAGTCAAACTGGGAAAAACTAGGAGACAAAAGAGTGCAGAGATGACTAGAAACTACAAAAATATGAAGTTGTCTTGGACGGGTCCACCCCCTCCACTTTTATATTTCTTATGGAACTATCTCCTAATCTAATTAGGAGATAATCCAGATCTAAATCAAATATGGACTCTAATTAGAGAGATATACCTTATCTTCTTATAAGATTAGGCCTGATTTGTATGGCGTGGGACCCCACAATGACTTCACATAAGTCTACATGAGTCCAACCCGGCCTTTGTGGAGATTTATCCTACCAAGGCTAACACTAATGTGCCGCCAAGTTGGTTGGGGTGGCTTGTCTCAGTTGCCAGGGTGAGACCTGAGGTAGATGCAGTGTGGGTTTTCTTGAAACCCTGAACCGGACCAGAATTCCAATATTGCCCTGGACCTTGGAGATTGATGGGCAAAACTGGAATGTTACACCTGACCCCTAGACTCGATTATGATACTGCACTAGGTGCCGGATTGGGCTGTCTTTGATATGCCAATCAGTGAGATCCTTAGAGGGGGTCAAAACATGGGTATGTTGGGAAAGTCCAAGAATTCATCTAAGTGGGTGATCATAGTGACAGGATCAGCCATTTGTTGGACAAAGGTAATGATCGGGGATGCACTCTCTCTGATGGAAACCAAAATTGCCGGCAGTTGATTTCAATATATATATATATGTATGTATGTATTATGATTTCAAAATGTTTGCAAAAGGTTTTAATTCCCGGGATCCATATGAGTAAAGAGTGCAGCACTGTTCCTTGCAACCGAGGGAGAGGTCCTCTCTTGTCGGACAGTGTTTGATCATTATGGGCTGAGAGGTTAAGTGTAAGACCATTGAGGGTAATGCCTGATGGGCTAATCTTGTATCTACCCACAGTCCTTGGGTTTTTATAAGGTGACTTGGCCCAATGACCACTTAGTGTATGTGTTGGACCCATTAAGAGCCCATGGTGATGGGCTCAGGGGTTCACTGTCCCTTACAGTGAATTCGGACAGGCCTTGTAACAGAGGCTAGACTGAACTCATGTGGTTGATGTGTAGATCAATGTTTGAGTCCCACATCATACAAGGAAACCCAACTGGGCAGCAGTTTGGAGGCCGAATGAGCACATAGACTTATTGGGCCTAAAGCCCAATTCGAACTAGTTTAATTTGATTAATTAAAGAGGAAAAATTCTAGGATTTAGATCAGTAGATAGGATATGGAGTTATCCCTATCCACTCAGAGAGTCCATATCCAAATAGAGATTTGGATCAAGAAGCTCCTAATGAGATTAGGAGGGTTGATCTTGATCTGCAGATAAGATAAGGGATTATCCTTATCTTCTAAAGAGAGTTTAGATTCAAATAAGGATTTGAATTAGGAAACCCCTAATGAGATTAGGAGGAGCTCTCCTTAAGGCTATAAAAGAAGGAGGAGGACGAACCCCAACTCACTCAATCTGATATCAGATACAAGAGAGAAAGAAAGCAACAATAAGACTGCGCCTTCTTCTACTCTTGTCTTCTCCTCCTGTTGTCACCATTGCCAGTTCGTTCTCCACCTGTAGAAGCGATCAAGAAGCGTTCTTGATATCAGTTTTGGTGAAAAACTTATTTGAAGTCATTCTCACTCACCCTCCATCGAATTCTTGCTAAAGGATTCGGCCTGCTGATTCTGCTCTACCCTACGCTGTGTCATCTTTAGTGGGAGCAATCTTTGGAGTTTTCCTTGGGTGTGAACACTTTCGTTGGGAGTTACTGCTACTCCGTATCAGGTATATCCCTCTCCTACCTTTTGGTTGCAAATCTGGTTCAGTTTAGGTTCAAGATTGATCATTGAAAATGCAGATTTTCTAAAATAGGGAATGTGATTCCCACATGGGAGAGAGAAAATTTTAAAATTTCGCCCTACCTACCTGCAGGGTTCGACTATCCATATGATGGATCTCTCATCCCTTCAGTGGTATCAGAGCCAGTTCAAATCTTGAACCGAAATAGATCAGATCTGAACCTACGCAAATGGGCAGAAGGTGTTCTACTCTATTTGCGCAGATAATTGATTTTTTGGGAAATCGATTCCCAGATTAAGGGCTATTGATCTGAAATTAAATCTTAATAAATCTGAATTATATTTAGAACAGTTCTTTATATTTTTCTTGATTTATGGGATGTTCGTACGATGGAGATCGAAGTCTTTATTGGCGTAGAAAATCTGTGATTTTGCAGTACTATTACTTTTGGTCTGTAATTAATTATTATTTTTTTAATTTCTACACTGAATGTATAGGAATTCGATCTGATGTAATAATAATAGAAAATTAGGGCTTTTCTATTTTATTTTATTTCAAGATCGAAGCTGGATGCGCAGGAGAAGGAGATTTTGCAGATGGAGAAATCGCTATCTGCGATTTACAGTTTGTGAAACTGCAAACCGTGATCTAACATCTGCTTTGCAGGTTGCAGATGTACGAGCAGCCCTAGTTCTAATTCTTGTTTGTCTTTAATCARAAATTTATTTTTTCAGATCAATTCTTGAGTTATTTCTTGAATTAAAAATCAAACCCTAGACCCATTCGAACCAGATTAGACCAAACTGGTTGGACCGAATCTGTGGTTCGATGGGGGCTGTTCTCAACCCTAATTTCCCACTCTTGGGTCAAGAGATTGATATTTAATTGCAAGACCTAAATTGGCCCACACCTGTAAGGCCCAGTTTTTAAATGTTAAAACTGCTTGAGCCCACTAACTGCAGAAAAGCTATATTGGCAGAATTGCTTAATGCTATTCAGCCCATATACCAAGATAATATTAATCARTAATATTATGGATTGAATTGGGCTTTTATGATGGGCTTTACAGATATTAATTGATTGGATCAATTTTATCCTTGCATGTGATGTATGGATGTGTGATGTGCAACGTTCATGGGCTATAAGCATTTGGCCCATGCTGATACGATAGTGGCTCTTGCGCACACCATGGCTGAATGCACATCATTGCCATGGTGTCCCTAAAGATCATTGGATGATCTCCATTTGTGATGGGCCCCATACCTCCTTGAAGAGGATTCGTGCGGAACCCTAGCCGTTTAGGGCCCACCAAAATTTGGCTTTATGAAAGTCAGTGGGAACCACTTTGGTTTGACCTAAATTAAACAAGGGCGTAACTTTTGTTCCCTCCTGAAATATGAGTGCATGTGATAGGGAGATTCATATGATGAACTCTTTAAAGGCCTTCCATCATTAGCACGAAGATGGGTCCTTCAAGTAATGAGGAAACGCACCATAAAATTGGGCTATCCATTTGYTRYTRGRTCTGTYRRARTGTTTCATAAGATGATAGGAGCGTCATAGACCGATGTGGGAGGGGCCTATTCTAAAATGGAAGACTCTCTCACGGTACCTTAGCGCTCACGAATATGATGGGTGAGCACTCACTGGACAAAAAGGTTTAACCTAAAATGGCAATGAACATTGTCTGACAGAAGCCAAAGGGAGAGCTGATACAATGAATGGATATGATCCTTCACAGAAAGGTGGTGGGGTTATGCAGCTGAAACAGTTGGCTCCATGCATCCTATTTGATTTCCCACATTTTCAGAGACAATTTGTAGTTTCCGTCACTAAGATGGGAGGGAAATCTCGGAGATGAATAAATGGAAATGGAACATAAATTAAAAGCCATATCTATGTAGATAAATGAATAAAATTAGGTTGTGGACTAATGTTTGCTCTTTATCATAAATGGCAAATGGATAATTCGCTAAGCTGTTGGACAACAACAAACTTAAGGGACCTAACTATGTTGACCAGTACCGTAATCTTATGTTGGTCCTCACTTATGAGAAGTTGGACAAAGTAGCAAAGAATCCTGCCCTGGAGCGTCCGGGTGATAGGGCTTCAGAGGCCCGCAGGAGG